AATTGTGGCTCACTCATTTTGCCGGCGATTCTATACACTCTCTTAGCGCAAAATATACTATGAATATAGCTCTCAATGGACTGCAACCCTTATGGTACTAACAGGCAGCTGAGTAGGGAATGTCAACACGAAAGCCGTATCGTATGCAGTGCCACGCAACGCAACTGTCGGCCGCTCGCTGCCTGCAAATTGTGGCTCACTCAGACCACCCGAGTTCACACACTTAAACACAGCGCTAGAATGTTTAAATACTTGTAAAATATATGTAAGTATTGTTGGTAATATTTTAGAAGCAACAAGCAGATGTATTAAAAAACAAAAACCCGACTGCGGTAATTTCAGTGTTATTTTTTTTTTTGTTAAAAGTCCGCCATCTTGAATTTATGATTTTATCAAATTACCACTGTCACTTACGATGCTGAGACTAATCTAACGACATCTCACATGTCTAGATCCGCCCGGCCGTTTGGGCCGTAGCCCGTAAAAACATGCATTATTTAAATACATACAAACTCTTAAAAAACAGAACCCTTCTGAAGTTCTGAGGCAGTCAGGTAAAAAGCCTGAAACGACTGTTTGACTTTACTTCAAATGTTCCAAGTATATACTTCGGTGCTTACTTATGTAAATCATGTTTTAATAATGAAAATTTCCAGCTGAGTTATTTTGCAAATAGACAGCGATTCGACAGTAGAATCTCAAAACTCGCCGGCGCTCGCTGAAATTCTTGAATCTCCCTGGGAACATCTTCCCCGGCGGTAATAAAAACGGCTCAAATAGGATTTTAACCGCGACTACCCCGCCTTAATTAAATTGGATTTGCGAGTAAAAGAAATGTACGTGCAAAAACTGTGTCGATTATGTCAGCCGAACGAGTTTCGGGATCCTTTTAGTAAGCGGATTAGCCGCGTCTCGCTGAGATTATTTCAGTATTAAAACACAGATTACTCCGAGTTATGAACGAACACGTTTTCTTTTTGTACTCAAATTAAATTATATTCCAGAATATATTTTGGCTTAATTTTCTTCTATGGGTTCACTTTACACTGAATTTAATTAAATTGTTTGTAGGAATAGACCAGTGTTAAAAAATCGGTGCCATAAATCATCATAGCATAAACGCTTAGCTTCTCGTTTTCAACAATCTGTAAGTTTAGATTAGATTAGATTTCTTTACTTCATATTATCAATTTCTTATAGATAAAAATGACCAAGGATAATATGATCGTCAAAACAAAATAAAATAAAAATAATGTCAAACTTGTCAAATTAAAATTTAAGTCCCTATCCCCTACATCAAAATTTATACTGTTATAAATATTCAAGTCAATTGTGTTTGTCGCATAGATTTCTTACGTCCGCAATGTCGTAAAAGAAATGACATACATTGAGTATTATTAACAGTAGTTATTAATTTCTAGGTACTTCTTACTTATTTCGTATAATTTATTCTCTTTATGGTCGTTGTTAATGTGTAAACATCATGTAAGTGTTGGCAGCCCTGTAACGGTCGATGTTTATGGAATTTTAAACACAGTTTTTACTATCGCCATCCATCACGAGGGACGTCAATAATATGGGCAGTTGGGCACAAAGAACCGATGTGGGAATCGATCATTTGTAACTTAATTGTGGGGCCATCACATTACTTTGTGAAATGTAAACTAAATACATTCACGCATTTATAAAATAACTGCAGATGTACCTACCTACTTACGTCATTGGGATGATGGCGCGCGGGGCGCTTGTAATATCAAAAGGATTACAATGAAAGCTTTAACGAAAAATATCATATCAAATACCTGCACATCACAAGTTTTCAAAATACGTCAATTAATTTTATCTCCGTCTATCTGTTTAAACCTAAGATACCTACTCTAAGGCGGGTTCACATTCACAGTGAGACGAACATTAGCGAGCACCCTGTGCAAGCATGCTCTCATTATAACTGCAGAAACATAAGTTGGATGGAGGATTAAAATCTACTCGCACTTAATAAATTTTAGTTGCACAGATCCGGATTTCATTTTGTCGTGCACAAAACGCTTAATTGCATCTATTTAAAAAACGTACCAGATATTTGTTTGTAGGAGGAATATAGATGTACCTACAATAGTGTTATCTTATCACTGTCGTTGATGGACAGAGAAATTGAGTTCATATCCGTACTAACCGTTCATACCTGGTTAGGCGCACTCTATACCTAGCTTATGTGTACTCTAAGGAACACGCTGTATCAAGTACACGGGGGTTGTGAATTCATTGTTGGGTAATTTGTTATCGTAGCATTATCAAGACTGGGGATTGAATAACTCTACTAGATAGGTAACAGAATTATGATGAACAGAGCGAGTTTGTTGTGAACATAGCTCATATTCTCATCATTATTTTTATGGATTTATACACATTTTGTAAATATGAGCTATCGTACAAAAATTGATTTAAATATTAAATACATTACAAAAAGAACATCCAAGTTAACCAACACAAAGAAAGAGACTGGGAAAAAGAATCCGCTATTGGACTTACTAGTTTTACGGTATAAAAACCGTGCTAATACGTGCATGTTTATTTCTCTCCAAATCCTACTATAGAACTATAATATACAAAAAATCGGTCTTCAATGCAGGGCATGAGGCCGATCGTCCAAACACGGTCGGTCACATATGCGCGGCGCAACCTTCGGAGAAACGCTGACTTTCAATCCTCCGCCGCGAGGGCAGATGGAAAAATATGTTATCCTCCGAGGGATCCTTTCCTCACTGTTATTGGCCTATTTATTCCCAACTAGCTGTCTTTGACTGGTTCGGAGTTTACGTATAGCAAGAGATATTCAGACTGATGACAATCATTGCAAAAACAAACTTAAGATTATTAAAATAACCTTCAGTTTAGTTAATAGTAGGTCCCACCTATAATCCAATCCAGAAAAAAGGTATCATTATAAAAAAAATATCCAGTTTACATTAAAACATTGATATTTTGTATCGATATTTCAAGATTTTTCCGAAAAGCGATTTCGTTTACCGTAGCAGCTAAGTGAAACCTTGACGTCGTGAAGCTCAAAGTGGTAGTGTTGATGGATTTTATGCAATTTTCAGTATCTATGAGATGCAGCGAGGGTGCCGGGCTCGGGGGATTAGGTTCGATCTCTCCCCAATACTTACAATACTTGCAGGTAAACAGCTTGAGCCGTGCCGGCGCCCGCCACCTGATAAATAACTACCGCGCCTGATAACTGGCTCTGGCTGGCTGCTAGATGACGTTCCAACAGGATTTTGTAGAGTGGATATTTTACCAGACTTCAATATCAAGCAACTCTGCGAGGTTCGCACCGTGGTATTTACAAAATACAAAAGAGCAATTTAAAATGTTTGTAATTGTTTCTAATTGTTACTAATTTATATGGATGTATATCTGACAGGATGTATATCCTTTATTGTGTTATTTTATGGTATATTTAAGTTTATTTTAAATTGTATAGTAGTATTTTATTTACCATTAAAGTTTATTTAGAATAGTTTTGTCTGCTGCCTATTTACCCTATAATACAAGAATATTTTTATATTTTTAGTTTAGGAAATAGTAAGCAACATAGCTGTTTCTTTAGTTTACCTATCTGTGAGTATGTTTATTTATAATAAAGAATTTGTATTTGTATCTTCTTCCCGAGGAGGGTTGACGTCTGGTAGGCGGCTGGTCGTAAAATTCAGCCAAATCCTTTTGCAAGAAGATTTTGTGTGCAACAAAACGTGTTACGCCGACCCCAAGCAATTGGGATAAGGGCAGGAAGATGATATGTAAGTATATCTGAAATACAAGAATTTTATTTTATTTAAAGATAGACGTTACTTTTATTTTACGAACCTCATCGTAGTTTTATAAAACCTATGAATACTCATCAGTACATAACAAGTGTCAACGAGTTGTCATATTTCATTCAAATCAAAGTTTCGTTTCCGGTAATTTCCACGGAAAATAACCACAAAAAATGTTGTACTATTTTTCAATTAAACTTTTCAAAAAACCTTTACTCTTACGGCTTGAAACGTGTCTTAATTAGAAGAAACTAAAGTCTCTCAAGCCAAGTCGGAGAGTTTTTGCAGGTTCAATTTTACGGCCACGAATAGTGAGTAATGTTAGGTGAAGCTCACATCTAACGTCCGTTGCTGCGCTAGTTTAGCGCAATGCTAACGCATGCGTCTGTCAGATACATACGAGTACAACATCTATCAGATACTTTGTAAAAACCGACGTTAAAATAACGCAACGCAAGTTTCTGCGCTGCTCTATGGTAAAGCAAGTTTCTGCGTTGTGTTATTTTAACGTACATGTACTTATCTGACAGGTGTTGTATGAATTTGACAGAAGCATGCGTTAAAATAGCGTAGCAACGTACGTTAAGTGTGGGGCTCGCCTTAGCTCGGTGTGCCTGTGTCAAAACGCATTAAGGCTCGCATTAACTCGTTAACAAAGAACATTCTTATCCACCTGGCCAGTGCAGGGAATTAAGTTACAGAATAAGATTATACGGTCTTAGTTTGAACTTTTCTTGAGAAATAAATGCGTAAAAGTTACGAACTTAGATTGTTCACAAAAGTTATTTACAAGTACAAATCTAGGGATTTACCTAACTTTGAACTTCATACAAGATATAAAAGAAATTCTATCTAACTACTTAAACTATACACTATTTAGTAAACTACATAATAATTTGTTCCAAGGTACATTACGAATGCTATGTTATTTATTATTTTCGCGACTGAAAATTTATAACAAACCCAATGGATTGATTATTTACAAATCAAACATTGACGGCGCAGGTTATCCGGCGTCGGGAACTTGCGTCTCCCGCGGGAAATCACCGCCACAATTACTTCGCCAGCCACTGCCAATACTGCAGGAAAACCTGTAAACGTATCGGCATTATTCAATCTTGGTCGGTACATTTATTTTATAACTGAAGCTAGAACGAAAATAAGAAATTGAAAAAATTGTCATGCATCGACCGGGACTCGAACCCGGGACACATGGGTCAACGCCCCACTGGTCAGCCACTGAGCTATCGATGCATTTCGGTGCATTTCTTATTTTTATTTATTTTATGAGAATAATAATTATAGCACTGTGCAGCTAGAATGATTTCAAATATTATCGGGATAAGCAGACTCGTTCAAACAAGAAACCTGTAGCGAACTACTTGGTCCTACCTTTTTATTGTTCAAGTTATATTGAATGTTGCTGGGGCTTTCACGCTACTGCAGCGCATCTGGTATGTTCGCGGAGGCAAGGACAGACGATTTCTTTGCCATTATACGCAAAAGAACATCGTCTGTACTTGCTAGGTGGCGTGGCAGCGACAACAACATTCTAAAAACGCTGGCAACCTTTCCTGACTCACCAATGCTTGAGCATTGGCACAGTACGTTGGTGAGGCAGGTGAGAGGCCAAAATCATACTTGACTTTCTTTCTGGTTTCCTTTTCTTTTTTGTTTTGATTGTAGTTCGAGAGCCCAGGGGGTAAGAGGCTATCTCATAAGGTACCACGATAGGCTAGGTTTGGATCGTTAACCAAGACTTAAACAAGTCGTATGACCCAGGTCTGCCAGAGCCAATCCTGCCGAAACATAAAAATAATCGATATTTTTCATAGTCATTTTTTCGTAAAAAATATGTCATAAGGTACCACAATGAAAGTGCTGGCATCAGTTAACCATTGAAAAATTATGTAAAAAAAGCTTGGTCTGCCACTGCGCAGCCTGCCGGAAGTGCTTGCCAGACCTCTCCAAAGATGCCCTTCCGACACCCCTAAACTATCTCATCGGGTACCACGACGCGACCACCACAACATAATAGCCAAGATCACTCTGACAATAGATCACAAGGTCTGCCAGGCCTAAACTTGCCGCATCCTAGTGTTTCAGACATTTGAAGTTGTAGGTCCAGTGTATGAAAAATGACCTATATCTTTTTCCCCCCGTGTTTGATTTTGATGGTGCCTTAATACGAAATGCTCTCCATAATAAGGAGCTTCAAGTCATATAGGACAGTTGGGTGGAGGGTTTCAGTATTGAATGCAATCCTGTCAAAAAGTTTGAAATGGAGGTTTGGTCTATGAAAACTGGCCTATATCTTTTTCCCCCCGAGTTTGATTTTGATGGCGCCTTAATATGAAATGCTCTCCATAACTAGGAGCTTTGAGTCATATAGGTCAGTGAGGAGAAGGGTCTCTGTATTGTACACAATCCTGTCAAAAAGTGTGAAATTGTAGGTAAAGTGTATGAAAACTGGCCTATATCTTTTCCCCCACTGGTTTTATTTTGATGGTGCCTTGGTATGAAATGCTCGTAATGATTAGAAGATTCGATTTGTATAGGTCAATTGGATAGAAGGTCTCTGTTCTGTGCACAATCCTCCTAAATATGAAAATATTCGATAACTTCTGCGGATTTTATCAGTTAAAATTGTCATATCATAAGGAACTCGAATAAAAGTGCTTGCATCACCTTACCTTTGACAAATTATGTTTAAAAAACTTGGTCTGCCACTGCCCACTCTGCTGAAAGTCCTTAGATGAGATAGGTTAGGGGTGTCGGAAGGGTATATTTGGAGGGGTCTCCCAAGGACTTCTGGCAGAGTGCGCAATGGCAGACCAAGTTTTCTTAACTCAATTTATCAATGGTAAGCTGATGCTGGCACTGTCATTCGGGTACCTTATGAAATTACAATGTTAACGGAAAAAATCTCAATCCTGCTAAACATGAAAATATTGGATATGTTCTGCAGATTTTTGCCGTTAATATTGTCATATCATAAGGTACCCGAATAAAAGTGCCGGCATCAGCTTACCATTGATAAATTGAGTTAAGGAAACTTGGTCTGCCATTGCGCACTCTGCCGGAAGTCCTTGTAAGACAAACCGAATATTCACTTCCGACACCTAACCTATCTCACCCCTACCTAACCACTGGTTTGATTTTGATGGTGCCTTGGTATGAAATGCTCGTAATGATAAGGAGATTCGATTTGTATAGGTCAATTGGATAGAAGGTCTCTGTTCTGTGCACCCCCAGGACTTCTGGCAGAGTGCGCAATGGCAGACCAAGTTTTCTTAACTCAATTTATCAATGGTAAGCTGATGCCGGCACTTTTATTCGGGTACCTTATGATATGACAATATTAACGGCAAAAATCTGCAGAACATATCCAATATTTTCATGTTTAGCAGGATTGAGATTTTTTCCGTTAACATTGTAATTTCATAAGGTACCCGAATGACAGAGCCAGCATCAGCTTACCATTGATAAATTGAGTTAAGAAAACTTGGTCTGCCATTGCGCACTCTGCCAGAAGTCCTTGGGAGACCCCTCCAAATATACCCTTCCGACACCCCTAACTCTATCTCATCTAAGGACTTCCAGCAGAGTGGGCAGTGGCAGACCAAGTTTTTTAAACATAATTTGTCAAAGGTAAGGTGATGCAAGCACTTTTATTCGAGTTCCTTATGATATGACAATTTTAACTGATAAAATCTGCAGAAGTTATCGAATATTTTCATATTTAGGAGGATTGTGCACAGAACAGAGACCTTCTATCCAATTGACCTATACAAATCGAATCTCCTAATCATTACGAGCATTTCATACCAAGGCACCATCAAAATCAAACCAGTGGGGGAAAAGATATAGGCCAGTTTTCATACACTTTACCTACAATTTCACACTTTTTGACAGGATTGTGTACAATACAGAGACCCTTCTCCTCACTGACCTATATGACTCAAAGCTCCTAGTTATGGAGAGCATTTCATATTAAGGCGCCATCAAAATCAAACCCGGGGGGAATAAGATATAGGCCAGTTTTCATAGACCAAACCTCCATTTCAAACTTTTTGACAGGATTGCGTTCAATACTGAAACCCTTCACCCAACTGTCCTATATGACTCGAAGCTCCTCATTATGGAGAGCATTTCGTATTAAGGCACCATCAAAATTCAATACAACTTCAAATGTCTGAAACACTAGGATGCGGCAAGTTTAGGCCTGGCAGACCTTGTGATCTATTGTCAGAGTGATCTTGGCTATTATGTTGTGGTGGTCGTGTCGTGGTACCCGATGAGATAGTTTAGGGGTGTCGGAAGGGCATCTTTGGAGAGGTCTGGCAAGCACTTCCGGCAGGGTGCGCAGTGGCAGACCAAGCTTTTTTTACATAATTTTTTAATGGTTAACTGATGCCAGCACTTTCCCTCGTAACGCCCATTGTACAATATATTGTACAGATTAACATTTAGCATTACAGCCCAGGCATAAAAAAAGAAATCATTTAATTAACGCCCAGTGTACAATGTGATGGACAAGGTATTTTATTTTAATTCTGATCTCATAAAGACCCAATGTTCATTAAGATAAAAAATGACCTAGATATTCAAAGTTCAAAACATCAAATTCCTATTCTACCTCATAGTCCAAAGAAAATTAAAAAAAATTAACGTGGTAGAGTTTAAAAAACAAAATTTGCCCGAGAGTCCATGGGCGGTAATTGTGTCACAAGATATTGTACATTGTAATGTACATTGGGTGTTAACCTTGTCCTGCTTAAAAAAAGCTTGGGCGTTACGAGGATAGTGGTACCTTATGACATATTTTTTACGAAAAAATGACTCTGAAAAATATCGATTATTTTTATGTTTCGGCAGGATTGGCTCTGGCAGACCTGGGTCATACGACTTGTTTAAGTCTTGGTTAACGATCCAAACCTAGCCTATCGTGGTACCTTATGAGATAGCCACTTACCCCCTGGGCTCTCGAACTATTGTGTGTTTATTTTAAATTTGAATGTTTTGATTTAATTGTATTAAGTACCTACTAACATATTTTTTAAGTGTGCCCACTGTACTAATCAAATGGATCTTTGTTGTCTAAGTAAATAAAGTTTTATTATTATTATTATTGATTTGTCAAAGTGTCAGGTAAGAGCTTGGACAAAGGTAAGAGTGGTGTCATATCACGAAGCTCAAATGACTATTGCACTTACAGATCCTTTTGCGAAAGACGGATAATTGTTTTAATTTCCTTATTATATAGCGATCTGTTCATTCTACGCATCGATGTAAATAAAGTTGTGTCATACATTCACTGGAGTTTCAACGTGAAGCACCCTTCGCCAAATACCTACTTATACTTATCCGAGTGAATTGAAGGCATTAGGTATTTACGAGGCTGCTCATTTCTGTAAGTCGGTTTGTGATAATGCTATGAATATTCAGAGCTCCCTGGGTCCCGCAGGATGACGCCCTGCGAGCACTGGAGCGGCTGGGCGCGCGGGACAAGACTTACAAAACAATATGATACTATCGCGGCATTTAAGCGCTCCTAATAAGATTTACCTCAATATTAATGCGCATCCGGCCGTCCATTATTCGGGGTATTATCTAAACACAGACTCTACACTTCGCCGAGTCCATTACAAGCCTTTCTACACAATACAAACTAAACAGCGAAATTGGCAGCTTATTGTAACATCGCTATCAAGGAGCATTACCATTCGGTTCAATGGTAACAAAAGCGAAACCCTACTATTACAGAACAATCGTGTCGTCCAACGTTTAGCTCCAAAAAGGAGCAAGATGATAAATTGTTTTTTCGACCTCTTCAAAACACCGTCTTATTCTTTTAAATACTTCCGCTATTTTCCAACTCGACGACGGTGAGGGGGCGATTTTCGACTACGAATTAATATTTTATGTTGTTGTTGGAAGCATGAATGGTTTCGTTGTTTTGAGCTTAGTAGAGGTCATTAAAGTAATGGGTAAAGAAACAAAATTATAGTAAACAGGCAGCAGTAGACCACTTATTATCACAGGAATGGGTGGTAGAGAGGGTGGTGCTGACTGTAGGACAAATCCACTTGGAATGTTCAAGGCGACAGTGTTAGCTTTTGTAGAATGTGCGCACTTTTGGTCGGTGTATTTGTGTCTTGCTACTTCAAATAAATGCTTTGTTTAAAATTATTGTGAAAATCGCTAACAAATTTAGCCTACAATTTAGGCACGTAGGATACGTAGCTTACAAA